AATCACCAACATCCGACACTCAGAGACCATGCTAGCTCTCTCTAATGTCACTGTCAAAGGAGGTCTTTAGTCCATCAGCAGCAGAACGCTAATGATGGCCCAGAAATGAGAATTTTTATATCCTGACTTTGCCAAGCACCTGTGTGACTTGTCCAATATATGTCTCATATCCATCCCCTTTGCCTCTTACCACAATGCCCTGGCCACTTGTAAGTTTAGGAACTAGAGGGTAAAGAAGCATCTGTACATGTTGAGGGATGGTAAGTGGAGTAGAATTGAACTCAATAAACTCAGTATATGACAAGAAGAGTTTGAAAGACAACAAAGAGACTGGGAATGAAATGGACAGTGGGACTCCCACTTCTCTTCTCTTAAAAGAACACAGATTTTGTTTAGGTATTCATGCTTTCCCCAAAGAGCTCGTGTATTTCAAATAGAGCTGATCCATCCCCAGCACCAGGACCATCCTTACTTGTCCAATAATAATTTTATTTACCTGGATAGGAACTGGCACAGGAACAACAGATATAAACAGATGAGTCCATGGCATTCTCTAGTCCATCGAGATTGGATTAACAATGAACATGGAACTCGATCCCAGCCAGTGGGAAGGCTTCTAGGAATTTTTTCTTCCTCTTCAAGAAATGGCAATGTCTAAAACATAAAACTTCACAGTTACAGAAAACCACATAAAGTCCTTCATACTCAAAGTGTGAGGAAAGCCTTTTTTTCTTTTTTTTTTTTTTGAGACGGGACTTTCATGCTAGTTGCCCAGGCTGGAATGCAATGGCACAATCTTGGCTCACCACAATCTATCCCTCCCAAGTTCAAGCAGTTATCCTACCTCATCCTCCCAAGTAGCTGAGTTTACAGGCATGAACCACCATGCCTGGCTAATTTTTTGTATTTTTAGTAGAGACAGGGTTTCTCCATGTTGGTCAGGCTGGTCTCGAACTCCTGACCTCAGGTGATCCACTTGCCTCTGCCTCCCAAAGTGCTGGGATTACAGATGTGAGCCACAGCTGGAAAGCCTCTGTAACAATGACTTGAAATTCAGATACACTTAAAGATTAACATAGCAGCTACATTTTAAAAAGTCTTGTGCACAGCAAAACATACTACAAGCAGCCAACACCTAGAAAACATAAAATAGGCTCTCTGTATTTATGGACTGAAAATATTTGGGAAAAAAAGGATAATTGCATCTGTACTGAACATGTATTTTTTCCCTTATCGTTATTCCCTAAACAATATAGTATAACTGTTTATATAACATTTACATTGTATTAGGTATTATAAGTAATCTAGAGATGATTTTATGTTTGTAGGAGGATGTGCGTAGGCTATATGTAAATACTACACCATTTTATTATATAAGGTTAAATAGCCATGGATTCTGGTATTCTGGAACCAATCCCCATGGATATTGAGGGACAACTGTAGTTGCAAAATATATCATGGATAAATAATCAATATTCCTAATATAAGCTATTAAAAAGAAAGAGGAATTTTTTTAAACTCAATAAAAGTTGGCAAAAGACATGAACAAACAATTCACAGAAAAAGTTATATGATTTGCCATTAAACATTTTAAAAAATGCTCAACTTCAGTTATAATAAAAGAAATGCAAAAAATACCCACTGAAATACCCCAGCCTGACTAACATGGAGAAACCCTGTCTCTGTAGAAAAATAAAAAAAAAAAAAAACCATGCACATATTTTTAAAGAATACTACATATCCTTTATTAAATACAAAGGGGAAAATGTACTTTTACCATGGAGATACCTGATATAAACCTCTTAGCCAATTGCTCAAACTTAGCATGATCAATAAAGGCACTGAGATCACATGGATATGATCCAAAGTGAAGTACCCACTACCTACCTTACATGTGGTAATGTGTAATAATGTTCTAGACTTAGGATGCACATGTTGAAGTATTGAGAAGTAAAGGGTCCCGTGGACTGTAAACTACTTTTAATAATTCAGAAAAATGACCGGACACAGGTGGCTCACACCTGTAATCCCAGCACTTTGGGAAGCCAAGGCAGGGGAAATCACATGAGGTCAGGAGTTTGAGACCAGCTTGGCTAACATGGCAAAACTCTGTCTCTACAAAAAAAAAAAAAAGAAAGCCAGGTGTGGTGGTGCATTCCTGTAGTCCTAGTTACTTGGGAGGTTGAGGTGAGATCATTGCTTGGGCCCAGGAGGTCGAGGTTGCAGTGAGCCGAGATCATGCCACTGCACTCCAGCCTGGGAGAAGGAGTAAGATCCTGCTTTGAAAAAAAAAAAAAAAAAATCAGTAAAACTATATGTACAGTATAAACCAAATGTGACAAAATATTAATAGTGAACCCACATGAACTTTCATCTACTCTGCAGGTATAAACATTTTAAAAATAAAAAGTGGGGAACAATAAAACAAATCAAATTAACTTGAATAAGCAGTTAATGAAAGAAGCACTTTTTTCCTCTCTGGATGTCTTCATGTGTAGTGAGAAGGCAGATTTTATTCCCTGATGAGAGAATTAGCAATAAAATAAAGGGTTAATTTGTTCATTTAGTCAATGTACTGGCTTTCTATCGCTGTATAACAAAATTACCAATCTGGCTACTTAAACCAACACAATTTCATTATTTCACAGTTTCCATTGTTCAGGAGTCTGGGTTTAGTTGGGTCCTCTTCGAGGTCTCACCAGGCTGAAATGCAGCTGCTGCAATCATATCTCAGACTCAGGATTCCTTCCAAACTTACTAGTTATTGGCAGAATTGCATTCTTTGCAACTCTAGGATTGAAGTTCTCATTTTTGTGCCAGCTGTCTACCCAGAACAATTCTTGGTTCCCAGAGGCTACCCTGAGTCTTTACTACCCGGGCTCCTCCACAGGCCCTCTTGCAACATGGAAGCTTAGTTCTTCAAGGCCAGAAGGAGAATCTCTTTCCAGTCTTCTAGGGTGGAGCCTTATGTAAGGTAATCACAGAATAACTATCTCATCAATCACATTTGTCATAAAAGGCAACCTAACCAAGGGAGTGACCCATATTCACTGGTTCTACTCATGCTCAAGAGGAGGGGATTACACAGAGTGTGAACACCAGTGAATAGAAATCTTGTGAGTCATCTTAGAATTCTGAGTAGTAATCGGTTATAATAAAGTTTTTGGAGGGGAGGAGCAAAGGAGGCTCTTTTTAACAACCAGCTTTCTCAGGAACTAACAGAGACCTCACTAACTTCCTCCTCACCCTACCACCCCAGGGCATTAATCTATTGATGACCCAAACACCTCCCACTAGACCCTACCTTCAATATTGGGGATCAAATATGAACGTGAACTTTGGAGGGGACAAATATACAAACCATAGTAGGGTCCAATTAGAATTCCATACAAAAGGCTTCTTCTCATTTTCAGATCTATTAATGAAACATTCCCAGGCAAATTAAGGCAATTAAGAGTCTTAAGAATACGAGGGTTGCAGAGAATTTGAAAGTGGGCACAAAAGACAAACAATAGCAGCTACTTCAAGAGTCCTCTCTTTCTCTCGTTAGGCTGTAACCATTAATTAGTTGATATCAGTTACTACCAATGCAACCCCTATACCCTGACTTTTTAAGTTTCCTTTGCCATATGCAAGGATTCCAAGTGCTAACTGCTTTCGGCCTGTCTCTCATTTGAAATCCAAATCCCTGCCTGGGTAAAGTGATGACACAAGCTGATGTTTTGGGGATGAAGCAGCTTCGAATGCACTCTAAGTTTCTTTTCTCAATAAACAATGTAAAGACCATTTCAAGAAACGCTTGTGGCGTATGTGTGTACTGGATAGCACTTTCCCCTTTCTACTTTGGAGACACTGGGGCATGCATCATTTCTCTTTCAGTTACTTTTGGGGGTCACAGTTAGAATTTTTCCCAGAAATACTTCTCACAACAGTCCACTTGAATGCTGGGAGTAATATCACTTTAAGTTAGAAAAACAAGCATGAGGCCGGGCGCGGTGGCTCAAGCCTGTAATCCCAGCACTTTGGGAGGCCGAGGCGGGTGGATCACGAGGTCAAGAGATCGAGACCATCCTGGTCAACACGGTGAAACCCTGTCTCTACTAAAAATACAAAAAATTAGCTGGGCATGGTGGTGTGTGCCTGTAATCCCAGCTACTCAGGAGGCTGAGGCAGGAGAACTGCCTGAACCCAGGAGGCGGAGGTTGCGGTGAGCCGAGATCACGCCATTGCGCTCCAGCCTGGGTAACAAGAGCGAAACTCCATCTCAAAAAAAAAAAAAAAAAAGAAAAAAAAAGAAAAAAAAAAAAGAAAAACAAGCATGAAGGCTGCAAGTCTTGTTCTACCTACACAACTCTAAATGAACCTCAGGAGGAAAAAACAAACTTAAAGCTGCACCTTTTCCCTTCTGCATTTCACCCACATCATACCTTCCTCTTATCCTGTTCTCACAACGAAAGCCACTTAAAACTCTGGGATCTATCTATTCTGTTGGTAGAGCAGACAGACATAAACCAGGCCAAACTTTATAATGGTGGGTAATTTAATGCAACTACTTTTACACTACCTCCATCCCATCCTAATTCAACAAATGCTAAGACAAAGGGGGAAGAATTGCAACCAAATGTAAGTTTCACTTGGGAATTATAAATTTAAAATTTTCTTTACTTTTGAGGCTGTCACTTACACCAAAAAACCATAGGTGGTTTTGTTGCTACTGAATTTCAGCAGGGCCCCAAATGTGGTCACTTCAAACTATTAGCACTCCCTGTGCTATTTATGGAACGCAGTGCAGAAGCTCCAAAAGGACCCTATGTCCACAGTGGAGCACAGATAATATTCCTTCTGCTCCTCTCTGCCTCCGCATCCAAAGTTGTTGGAATTACAGAGATGGTCCAATGGTCATCTCTACCACCAGGTCTATGCATCATATTATTAACCGCTTTATTATAACGCAAGTGTAGAAGAAAATGCTGTTTCTCTCAGTACAGTGGAGACAGAAATGGAGTTTTTCAGAACAAATGTTTATTTAAGAATTAAGGGCAAACAAAAACATTAAAGCATAGGAATACATCAACTGAATACAAGTTGTCTTGTTTGGTCTGAAATCTTGAAAAAGTTAATCTAACTACTTACCTGAGGTAGATTTAGGTTGGCACTGCTTCAAGGGAACCTCCGTCCATCCCAGAAGTTACCTTCTAGTTTTGGTTAACAGGCTCCCAAGTGGTCCTCTCCAACCTCAGGTTATGCTATATGAATAATACCAATACCTTTTTCTCCCATAGTTAAAAGCCCTCAGCCTTGTTGCATACCCCCAAAGTTCTCGTTTGAGGGATGGTCCATCATTAATTTACTTAAAAACTAGAGACAACTACCAGTAAGATTAGTTGAAAGAAGGGTCAAGTCATTGCCCTGTTAATGATACTGACTTGGACCCCTTCTCCATGCTCTCACTAATGACTAACAAGTAGCCATAAGGACTACTTTTCATCACCACCATGCCTCACACCCAATACTATTTTAAGTATATTACAAATGTCAAACATATACTAGTAATAGGCATGACTTTCACTAAAGAGAAAAAAATATATCCTGTGTGTCTTATCATACTGGGCAACTTTTCAAGGTACAAGAGCTATTTCTAAAAATTATGAAAACATGTCAGATCAAATAAACTTCCAAGATATTTTTCTAAAAGAAAAATACCCTAGAATCAGATTCCTTCTTATCACTATGAGCTATATTCACTGGCCCTAATATTATCACGATCATCAACCAGTTATTAGGATCAAAGCTTAGAGCCATACACAAGGTAGCAGTGTAGCAGTTCGCCAACTCCATGAATCCAAATGGCAACACTTTCTGAAGTTCAGGGATCTGCTAGGACAAATCAAACCAAAATCAGAGGATGTGGACTAGCAACAAAGTATCTATTCACTAGTCTACAAAGTCCCAAATACTACAGGAATCTGAAATATTCGTATTAAATGTCTTTTAATCTGAGGGAAGAAAAAAACTGAGATGTGACCATTGACATCTCTGGATTAATTATAGTATTTTTAGGGATCACTAAAGACAATCCTAATTATATTTTAAGCTGGAAACAAGTGCTTATCTTTAGGCCTCTGATGAATCTGCCAACTACTTTTCCCTTTTAGCATTTAGAATTCTGCATTCCACGCCAAATATATACCTTATAATGTGGTGATTGCAATCCTTTCCCTGGGATTAAAAGGTATTTTCTCTTTCCTTGGCAGAACTGAAATAAATGAAAGACGTATCATTATGGGTCTTGTTTGCTATGAACAGCAGGATAATGGAGTGAAAAGAACACTAGGTTTGGAGTTAGGATACTCAAAATCAAAGAAGCCTTATTCTTATATTAGTAATGCATCATTATGTGTTTTTACTCTATGCCTACACAGATTTATAAACTTTTCTTTCAGTCTTTCTCTAGCCATTTTACTAGGAGCTGACTGTGGGTATCTATTGCTGAAAGAGATAAGTCACAAAAATACGTATACTAAAAACATCATAACCATTATATGAAATTTGTACTTTGAGTCAAAAAGAAATGAATTTCTAAACTTGAAATTTCAAATACCATAATAATTTGAAAGCTATTTTAGGGGAAATAACTTTTCAGAGTATGCCTCAACTGACACTAAGTAAAAAGCGGAGTATGCTGTCTCTTTGTAAGATTGGTCCTGCAAAGAGAAAACTACTAGGAGAGTTGGGATCTGGGATCTTAGTTTTGATCTAGGATAGCTCCTCCCTAGCTTCTTAGTTCATTTCGCTGTCAGCAAAAAAAAAAAAAAGGAAAAAAAAAAAAAAAGAAAAAAAAGACTGCCATGTTACTATCAACACTCTAGTCCCATCCTAGACAAGCATTAAAATACCAACCAAGGCAAAGTCAATATACTCCTTTCCCCCAACAGTAACACATGCCACACCTTCTATCATAAGGTTGCAGTCCTTTCCTTTATTGGATTTCTGAATTTTTTAAAAAGTAAAAGTAAAGCAATCATTAAGTGGTTCAGATAAAAGAAAAGTATCTTTACCTGAGTTACCCATCAGGTCTGCTCTGACCTGCCCTAGCTCCTTCCAGAACAAGCTTCTGGGCATCTAAAAAACTATTTTTCATACTGATTTCATGTAACGTCATCTCTACCATGAGTGAACTTAACTATGAAAACAGTTTTTCTCATACATATTATATGTACACAGATTCTCACCCACAATTAAATCTCTCACTGCAGAACAGAGGTTTCTGGGGCCCGATAAGACAGGAGATTCTACAAAAGGTTTTCTCAGACTCAAGGTATTTATGGGTTTTTTTCACTTATGTGAGTTCCCTGATGTACCACAAGAGCTGATCACTGACAAGCACTCTTCATTCAGACATTTGTAGTCTTTACTCAGATTGGGATTTTTGGGGGTGCAAACCCAAGTAAGGCTCTCCAATGAATGCTTTTGCCATACTCAAGACAAATATACAATTTTTCACCAGTATGGCTTCTCTGATGGGCAAAAAAGTCAGAGTTTTGTTAGAAGCTTTTTCACACTTGCTGGGACTTCTCCCCAGGGAGGGTTTTCTGAGGGCCAATGAGATGTTCATACTGTCTGCAGCACAACTGACACTGAAGGCATTTTAAAAATTGTTCTCCGGTGTGAATTCTCTTACGATGAAGAGGGCTGAGCACTGCTGGAAAGCTCTCTCACACTCAGTGCATTTGTAAGGTTTCCCACTTGTATGAATCCTCTTGCGATCAAATTTGAGCTCAGACGGAAAGTTTTCAAACACTCTGGTCATTTGCAGATTTCTCATTGGAGTTGATGGATAAGGTGTTATGTTAGGGCAGCTCTCTGGGCAAAAAATTTCTCATACTTCCAATTGCAGGCTCTCTGGTCCCCACTGAATTCTGAGCTCTGAGCAAAGTCTGAGATTTGCCTAGGGGGTCTTCCTCTTAATCAGTCTCTGATACATAAATAATTTTTAATATTGTTATTACAGCTTCTCGCCTGGTCAAGACAACTCTGAGGCTTCTGATGCACGGGGAGGGCTAAGCTCAAGACCTCTGTCACTCACATTACAGATAAACGGTTTTTCACCAATGTGTACTGTCTGATGTTGAAGAAGGGCTGAGCTCTGGTGGAAGCTTTTATCACATACAGTGTATTTATAGTGTAGCTCCTCTGTCTGAGTTCTCATTTTCTGCTGGGCAACAAAGTCCATACCTAAGAGGAAGCCATTCTCACACGCAGACCACTGATGTGGTTTCTCTTCCATGTGAATTCTCTGATGTACAATAAGATCGGAGCTACAGTTAAAACTTTTCTCATATTCAAGGCATTTAAAAGTGTGTGTGTGAGTTGCCTGGTGCCTAATTAGGTTGGCACTCCGAGTAAAACTTCTCATACATTCCAGGCATTTATACGGCTTCTCACCTGTGTGGACTCTCTGGTGCACGATAAGGTCTGATTTCTGGCCAAAGCATTTTTCACAGGCACCACACTTATAGGGCTTCTCCCCAGTATGAACTCTTTTATGTACGATGAAGGCTGAACGGTGTCGGTAACTTTTCTCACATTTATTACATTTGTAGGGCCTTTCCCCAGTGTGAGTTCTCTGGTGGCTAATAAGATCTGATTTCCCACTAAAAGCTTTTTCACACTCCAGACACTTAAATGGTTTCTCACCTGTGTGAGTTCTTCGGTGCCTTATGAGGTTTGTACTTCTACTGAAGCATTTATCACACTCACTACATAGATACGGTTTCTCGCCGGTATGGCTTCGCTGGTGGACAAGCAGATCAGAACTCTGACCAAAATTCTTGCCACAAATGTCACATGTATAGAATTTTTTACCTGCATGTGTTCTCTGATGTCCTGAAAGCGCTAAGTGGTGCCAAAAGCTCTTCTCACATTTGCTACATTTATAAGGTTTCTCGTAATTGTGGATCCTCTGGTGTGAAGTAAGATCTGAGCTTTGGACAAAGGTTTTCTCACACATATCACATTTATAAGGTTTCTCTCCAGTACAGGTTCTCTCACACATAATAAGAGCTAAGTTTTCACAGAAGTTTTGCTTGCATTCAAGGCACTGGTATAGATGATCATCTATTTGAGTAATCTCACACACATGAATAAAAATCTTTTTACCCTTCCGAGGGCATACATTATATATTTTCCTTTTTTGAGTTCTCTGATTACATCTCTCTTCTGAAGTGAACATTTTCTATGGCTCTCTCCTAGGGAGTTTTCCACTGGTCTTCTTGACCCATCATTGCCCTCGCAGTCATTTTCTTGATAAGAACTTGGAAGAGACATGTGTTTCAGTCATTAGCCTCTACATGTTTCCAGCATCATATACATTAATTCCTTACTTGATATTTCCAACCCTGTGAGACAAAGTAGAAATATTATTTATATTCCTACAACTAAGAAAAGAATTCTCAAAATTAAAATTACTGCAGATGAGACAAATTCTGCATCAGAGTCCCTAAGTCTTCTAGGTTATACATGGCTTGAAATCAGTTATTTACTTTTACTCTTTGCTAATATAAAACTGATCAGCAGTATATACGGGAAAGTACAAATAAAAATTCTTCCTTCCATGAACCTGGGTGATTTCAAAACAAGAGCTCTTCTCCTTTCCTTGCTTCAGCTGAGAAATCAAGACAGGACTAATAATTATTATGCCTCCTCATGAAGAAAGTAAATCAAAAGGGACTGTGAATGACTATCTCTGGAGTCCCTTTTGCTGAAAGTTTGGAAGAGGTAGTTAACGACCACTAGAATTCCCAGTGCCCAGACAAAAAACTAAGGTTTCGATGACTCTTTCTTCTTAGTGGTGGTATTAGGGAAGTTTCTTAACCACCATGTGCCTCATTTCCTCATCTGTAAAATGGATTAATAACAGAAACTACTTTACACGGTTCCGTGGAATATTAAATCACTATGAATCTCCTGGCAAGCCTTCTGTGTTGGCTCTTACCATCACTATTATTATGACAAAGGGGCTTAAGATTCTGCTTTGATATGATCATATAAGCATGTAACTTGCTCAAAAAGAAAAATCTTGACTGATTACAGATAAAAGCCTGGGCTTGGAACACAGATTTTATAATGGGCTTTTCTTTACATGGTGAAAAGCTGTAAAAAAGTTTTCTTCCTTCTCATTCTGTGATTTAGAGGGATGTACACATACAAAAATACCTAAAGAATCAAGTATCTTTAAAAAAGTTGGGTTGATTCAAGAGAGTTCAGAGGGACTAATGTGTCAATGCACTTAACTACCAATAATAGACTAAAGAACAGAAACAAAAGGAAAAAGAAAGCCATTTTCCTTATCCTTCACACTTAACTCTTCAGTGATCTTTTCATGTTTGACCCTCTCCCTCATACATTCAGACCCTCCCATTTATCACCTTAACACTATAACCTGATAATTCTGCTTCCTATTTTACTACAAAAATGGAAGCAAGTAAGCAAAACAACACATACACAAAAACCAAAATCCCTTCCACGTGCTCCCACCACATCAACCAACTCTTCTAAGTGTGGTCATGTACTGTAGCTTTCCTTCAGCTGCCGAAGATGACAAACTACCCTTGCTCAGTTTAAGGATAGCCTTTCCATCTGAATACTTCCTTTGTTCATAAAAACTTCACTCTAGCAATTCTACCCACCCTCTCTTGCATTATCAATTTATTCTCTCCTATTGGACCATTCCAATATTATTTCTCTTCTAAAAAACAAAAGCATAATCAACAAGAAAATCTCTCAACTGCCTCACACCCAGGCTGTTGTCCCATTTCTCTCTTCCTCTCCACAGTAAAACTCTTCAAAATAAATAAACCTGTTCATTGTCTCCAATTTTTGTCTTCCAAGGTTTCTGGAACATACTCCAATCAAACATTCAATCCTCACTACTCCACAAAACTGCTCCTCTTAGAAACCTACAAGCTCTTAAGAAATCTGACTCCTAGTAACTACTTTGACTCATTTCTCTGCTCTTCCTCTGCTTATTTATTGCACTCCAGTCGCCCTGAGTCTTTGCTGTTGTTCAGAGAAGCCAGACTCACCCCCATTTCAGAGTCTTTATGCTTGCTATCTCTTCCTGGCTGAAGGGTTCTTCCTCCAGGAGTCTTCAAGGCTCTCTCTTTCACCTCATTCACATCTTTGCTCAATTGTCACATTCTCAGTGAGGTCATTTCCAACCACTCTATTCTAAACTATACCACACCTCCATCCCAGCTGACTCACAAACAACACTCCTTTTCTATTTTGTTTTTCTCCATAGAATGTAAGCCCCTAAGAGACAAGGATTTTTGGCTCATTTAATTCACTACTGTTTCCAACACTTAGAATGGTGCCTGGCACAGTAGGTACTCAAACCTAGCAGAGGAGTTCTTACTTGGCATCCACAGACTGCTAGGTAATTTATGAAACCTTTGAAATTGACTGCAAAATGTTCAGTGTATGTGCATTTTTCTGGGGAGAAGGTACACAGTTCTTTCGATTATCAAAAAGATCCAGTATCTAAGAAACTAGATATTAGATTGGAGCCTATCTGTAAAGGAAACAATATTAAAGCTCACTGAATACAGCATATTCATAAATGTAATGGACCAGAACACAAATGAACACTTGCCCGCAGAGAAAACAGGAATTCAAAAGGATCTAAAAGACATGGTACTAACATAGTTACCTCTGGGTAATGAGATGACAGATAACATTCTGTTTCATCAATTTGTTAACTGCAGTTTTCCAATTTCCATTCAGCAATCAGTATGCTTTCCTTGCAAAAGGCACAGAGACTGCTACTTTTACGGTAATAAGTAAAAACTATTTATAAATATAAAAAGATAATTTCAAATGTCAACTCAGAACTGTTCTAAAATTTAGTTTTAGGGGATAGGAGAAAGAACTAAATGAGGTGGGAGTAGGCAGTTTCTTCAGAATCAAAACACGGATTGACAAGAAATGTAGTATTGTGACCACAGAGGGACATAATGGGAGAAAAATGCACTGCAAGGCTAACAAGAATAGGGAAGTCAAGACTGAAGCAGACAAGCTAAACAAAACAGAAATGCTTATGCTGAATACAGTGATTATAAATCCTACATTTCAAATATTCAATATCTCCATGATCTATGAACTGTCCTAGAAATTACTGTTGGTCCAAATTACATCTTTCAGGTAACTTTCACAGTATCACAGAAGAATTCCTTAGACTATAAGACCAGAGTACACTCTGTCACTGTCACAATCTCAATCTTCAAAGCCTAAAGTATCACAAGCATTACTCCTATTTCCTTTTATTACGTTGAGTTCACAGAGCTAAATGCCACGTATCTGTTCTTGCCTTTAGTCAAAGGAAGTGAGCAAAGGACTTATACCAGGGCTGGATTCCAGATCTATTCCACCTATCACCTGCCTCATCTCAGTTTATGGCAAATCCGTCCTTTACTTCCTCAGGCTAAAACCTTGGAGTTATCCTGCACTCTTACATCAACAGATTTGTTGGCACCATTTCAAAACACATCCAGAATCCAACCACTTCTCACCAGCTTTTGTTGTTACCATTCCAGTCCAAACCATTCATTTCTTACTTTCACAATAGCCCAAGAGGCCAACTTGAGCAGCCCAGCTAACCTGTCACTGCTTCTCCGACACCCTTTTATATTATTCTTCTCTTTGCATATTCTAATCCAGCCACAATGGCTTCCTAGCTGTCCCAGACATACTCCCCGAAGGGCCTTTGCCCTTTCTTTCTTCTGCCTATAGCTTTCTTCCTCCAGGTGTGTGCATGAATTTCCCCTAATCCCTTCAAAGAATATTTTTTCAGATGTCACTTCTGAGGAAGGCCTATCCTAATCACCCTGTTTAAAGTTATAAATAGTCTTCATGGCTCAGCATTCACTACTCCCCTTGTCTGCTTTACTTTTCTTCATGGCATTTAACACCTCCTAACATACTGTATAATTCACTTTATTTAGTTTACTGTCTATTGCTAAAATATGGCAAGGATGTTTGTTTTGTTTGATGATCTTTCCCTACCATATAAAGTAATGCCAGGTACAAAGTTGGTGCTTAATAAGCATCTGCTGAGTGCACGAATGAATTCTCATTGAAATTCTACTTGTCTCCTTGTCTGATAAAAGGACTGAATGCCACAAAGAATGGGAACTACTCTGATGAGATGGAGGCTGGGAAATAGAAGGGACACGTCAAGGCTGAAGTAACTGTAGCTTACCTAGAATCCAGATGGAAGAAAATGTACATTGTTGATCCTGAGATTTTGACTTCTCAAGGAAGATAGCATTCTGTAAAACACAAAGACAAGAAAGGGATAAGAAGCCACAAATGAGAGAGTTTAGCACTAGATCATTTATACTCAAAGGACTTAACAATGAGTAAACTACAGTTAAAAAGAACAGATGGGTTTTCTTATCTAATCCCTTAAATTCAATTCTGTAGAGTCTTAAATCATCCCATACGACTCTTTGGAGAAAAGGACAATACAGAATCTACAACCCATCTGCATCATCTATAGCTTCCTTCGCAACTGTATCAACGTTGAAGGAAAGGACTCCTAACACTAAATCTCGGTGGTATTTTGAAAACACTAAGGAATTATCTTTCCCACAGGAACTCAGGCTGTCCTGATCCAAAGTATAATATAGACTACAAAGTATTTTTGAAATAACAAAATTACCACCTCTGGAACCCACATAATCATCACAATTTTGGTTATTCAAAATTTATAACACCCTGTTGATTTATATCTCAACCACAAACAACCCAGGAGGTGGTCAATTAGGGGCACAAAAAGAAGCTGTTGGTCCACATTTAACCAATGATATCTTTCTCTAGAAATTTTCACCTGCCTTATCCTGAGGTTAATGGGACTTTCAGTTCCCTCAACAACCTTCCTGTTACTAAGGATCAAAAGCAAACATGGAACTACTTGGACTCAGATAACACATGGGGATATACAGTTGAGGCTCTCTATGGCACTTAGCTCATAGCTGCCAGTATTAAAATGACATTTTAGGATTCTAGTTCCAGGTAAGATGGAGTAAACACGTGTCACGAATTAAGTTATCCCAATGAATCCAACTATAAAGTCTGGACAGAATGTACAGCCCAGTTATTTGACAACTCTGCAAAGTCCATAGCATGCAGGTCAGGAAAGACCAGAATTTAAAATGCCATTCAACCAGCAGGGATTTTACTTTTTTTTTTTTTCCTTTTGGTCCTCATCAGTATCCTGGGGCCTGAACTCAATATAGCCCTAAACACAGAAGTGAGGGAAGTTGTAAGATATAATTGTCAAGTGAGACTTTTCAGAAAACCTATAAGCTTTCATATCATTTATTTATTTGTTTGTTTTGAAGTTCCAGGGTACCTGTGCAGGCTGTGCAGGTATGTTACGTAAGTAAACGTGTGCCTATGTAAATGTGTGCTGCACCTATCAGCCCATCACCTAGTTATCAAGCCCAGCATGCACTGGCTATTTTTCCTGATGTTCTCCCTCCCTTCCATCCTGCTACAGTCCCAGTGTGTGTTGTTCCCCTCCTTGTGTCTATGTGTTCATATTGTTCAGCTCCCTCTTATAAATGAGAACATGCAGTGTTTGCACACCAATTATTTAAAATTGGCTGGCCATGGAAGTCAATGGACAGAAAACTGACTTAAATATAAAAAAAGGAAAAAAAAGAAAATATCTCTGGAGGAAATATAAAGAACGTGATAATAAAACAAAGCCAGAGGAGATAATGGTGGCTACAGAAATCCAAATCTCTCAACACATGCTTTAAAAACATTAAGAATAACAACACAGAATGGGAAAAAATTTTTGCATTCTACCCATCTGACAAAGGGCTAATAACCAGAATCTACAAAGAACTTAAACGAATTTGCAATAAAAAAAACCAACCTCATCAAAAAGTGGACAAAGGATATGAACAGATACTTTTCAAAAGAAGACATTTATGCAGCCAACAAACATATGAAAAAAAGTTCATCATCACTAGTCATCAGAAAAATGCAAATCAAAACCACATTGAGGTATCATCTCACACCAGTAAGAATGGTGATCATAATCAGGAGACATCAGATGCTGGAGAGGATGTAGAGAAAGAGGAACACTTTTACACGGTGGGAGTGTAAAGGTGGGAGTGTAAATAAGTTCAACCATTGTGGAAGACAGTGTGGTGATTCCTCAAGGATCTAGAAACAGAAATATAATTTGACCCAGCAATCCTATCATTGGGTATATACCCAAAGGATTATAAAACATTCTATCATAAAGACATATGCACACGAATGTTTATTGCAGAATTGTTTATAATAGCAAAGTCTTGGAACCAACCCAAATGCCCATCGACAATAGGCTGGATAAGGAAAATATGGCACATATATACCATGGAATACTACACAGCCATAAAAAGGATGAATTCATGTCCTTTGCAGGGATATGAATGAAGCTGGAAACCATCATTCTCAGCAGAGTGACGCAGGAACAGAAAACCAAACACTGCATGTTCTCACTCATAAGTGGGTGTTGAACAATGACAACACATGGACACAGGGAGGGGAACGTCACACAGTGGGGCCTGTAGGGGGTTAGGTGAGCTAGGGGAGGGCTAGCAGAGGGTGGGAGGATTGTAGAGGGATAACGTTAGGAGAAATACCTAATGTAAATGATGGGGGGGATGGATACAGCAAACCACCAAGGCACATGTGTACCTATGTAACAAACCTGCACGTTCGGCGCACGCACTCCAAAACTTAAATTAAAAAAAAAAAAAAAAAAGAATTAAGAAGAACAAATGTACTATACAAAGCCTACACTGTCACCAAATCCCATATAGCTATCTCTCACATTCTAGCCATAAGCTATCAATGAAAGCAAGGACAATCTGAGAACATTGGGTAAAGAGAAGAGAGCTAGCAGTGGGCAAGATTGACCTAAATAAAATTCATCGTCAGAAAGAAAAACCCACCCTAAGTACAAAAAACTTTATCACGGATATGTATGTATATATATAAAAAAACCATTTAGGGTTCAGTACTATCTGCAGCTTTAGGTATACACTGGGAATCTTGGAACATATCCCCCATGAATAAGGTGGGATTACTATATTGTATTAATGGCAGGTGGGAGTTAAAGGATACTATTAAACTAAAAAATGATCTGAAGCTACAATGGCCTTTTAGAAAAGAAAACAATTTAAAACTCTTAAAAACCAGGTAATTAAAGGTTAAACATAGAAATTTATTTTTTTCTCTAAAAGCATTAAAAAAGATCTAGGTACAGCTAGGCGTAGTGGCTCATGCCTGTAATCCCAGCACTTTGGGAGGTGGAAGAGGGCAGCTCATCTGGGGTCAGGAGTCTGAGACTAGCCTGACCAACAAGGAGATACCCAATCTCTACTAAAAATACAGAATTAGCAGGGGGTGATGGTGCATGCCTGTATTCCCAGCTACTCTGGAGGCTGAGGCAGGAGAATTGCTTGAACCTGGGAGGTGGAGGTTATGGTAAGCCAAGATGGTGCCACTGCACCCCAGCCTGGGCAACAAGAGCAAAACTCCATCTCAAAAAATAAAATAAATAAATCTAAGTACAAAAGTAGCTAATAAAACAAAAATCAAACATTGAAAAAAGACAGTTGTGAAAAGAGCTGTGAAAAATCTATCATGTAGGAAAAAAATGTAACAAAATACAATTATAACAAATAATATGACATTGTTAAAACCAAATATCAACTGTATCAATATATGTAAACATATATTGATTTTAACCTCATTTATATAAATATATTATATAATTTAATATATACATTACATAATTTAAATTGTACTATATAAATATAAATGAGGTTAACACACCTATTAAAATAAAGAGATTTTCACTTTGGCTTACAGGCAAGACCTAACTATATGCTTAATACAGGAGATACCTAAAGCAAAATGATTCAGACAGACCAAAAATAAGGAGGAGGGAAAAGGAATACTAGGCAAACAGAAACAATAAAAGTAGGGCTTTTGATCCTGCTATCAGGCAAAGCAGAGTTCAAGCCAAAAGCATTAAATGTAATAATACTTTCAAAGCTACACTAAAGTCATGGTTTTCTATGCATCACGCTACAAAGCAGGCACATTTACAAAGCAAAAACAGAGATATAGATACAAAGAAACAGAGATGAAAATATTAATAATAGGAAAGCTTAACATACCACTCTCAATAAAAGACAAACTGTACCAAGAATAAGTAATGATGCAAAAGGCCTAAATAACCTAATTAATAAGTAAATCTTATTAATATATATTAAACCTTAGCCCTGATAAGTACACATTCTTTTCAAGCACACAGCATCATTTCCAAAAATATGTGATATATTACATCATAAAGAAATCATCATTAATTCTCATTAAGAAACTTTCCAAGAAACAATCTGCAGCAAAACTAGAAATTTATTAAAATATCAAATAACAAAATGTGCTTTCAAATGGGGGAAAATAAACTATTAACTCTTCAGTAAAAGGGGCAATAAAAAATTTAACAAAATTTCTAAGTATTAATAACTGAAAACATTATATATTACAAGCTATGAGATGCATTTAAAGCAGTGATTTAAAAAGTGTTTATGCTTTTATTTATTTAATGTATAAAAATAGAAGAATTAAAATTAACAAATTAAATTCTTAGATCAAAGGCTAAGAAAAAAATAAATTTCAATTGAGCCCAGAAGTTCAAGAACAGCCTGGGCAACATAATGAGACCCCGTTTCTATTTTAATACATACATACATACACACATGCATACACACATACATAAATAGGTATGTTAGCTCATGCCTATAATCCCAGTGCTTTGGGAGGCCAAGGCAGTAGGATCGCTTGAGCCCAGGAGTTCCAAGACCAGCCTGGGCAACATAGCAAGATACTGTCTCTATTTTCTTTTTAATGGAAAAAGATCAAAATAACTAATAACAAAAATAGATAAAAGGAGAAATCAATGAACTAGAGAACACAAAAATAGTAAATCTAATGATAAATCAAAATCATACTTATTTTGTAAAACTTCAAGAAACAGATAAACCACTAGGTAATGAAGAAAAGAAGAGAGAAAGCACACATTTACAAAATAAGACATGACAAGAAAGAATAACCACCAAAAAGAAAACACACGCATACATGAGAACCACTTTGCAAATCTCTATATAATATAAAAATGATTAACTACAAAATAAGTGTTTCTTTTTTTTTTTTTTAAATAGAGACAGGGTTTCACCATGTTGGCCAGGCTGGTCTTGAA